TTGCAAAGACAACATATGCTTCTTTGTGTTTTGTTCCCTTTGTTTTTTTTCTTTTTCTATGGTATTTTAAAAGTAATAAACATAAATAATTAGTATTATAATGTCAATAAGAGCATGACTGTTTCCAGCAGTATCTTAGCCAGATTTGCAAAATTCACTGGGCTAGCAGAAATAAGGTAAGTGTTTTGGGATTCTGCTTCAGTAGAAACCTACCATTATCTTAACATGTTGTGATTCAGCTCATCACCTGAGGCCACAACATGATTTAGTGTGTTGTGCAAAGCCAGCTACTTCCTTAAAAGACCACACTTTTTGGAAGACAATTACAGTAGTGGCCAAAATTGTGGAAACCTTTTGGGAAAAGTGTATTTTCTAAAACTAGCTAATAACACCACTTTTTTTTTATTTAAAAAGTTTTAACAATCATTTCAACAATTTCCCCCTCTTTTTTGTGCCCACTTTATCATACAGTCTTTAACTAACTCCGTTTCTGAATCTATTTCTAGCAACGCATTATACAAATAACACCACTTTTTTTGGAGTAGTACCCTAAAATTATATATCAATAGAAGGATAATTGAATCAAGAATGTAATGCAATTATTTTTATGAAGGATTTGCTCTTAGAATAGCAGTTACAGTATAAAGAAGAAAAGTGAAACACATAGAAAAAATGAGATATACAAAAATGATCACCATAGAAGAAATGAGATATACAAAAATTATCACCATGTCAGTTAATACTTAGCTGGGTAACCTTTAGCATTGAATTACGGCCTTATAACGTCTTCCCATGGAGGGAACCAAGTCTTTTAGTTCTACAGCTGTTCTAATGTGAAACCAAGATTGAAGGATTACTTCTATTAACTGGGTTTTATTGCTGGGTCACTTCTGACTAACAAGTTTCTTTAGTCAGCTCCCTAGATTTTCAATTGGGTTAAGGTCTGGGCTATTCCCAGGCCATTCCAGCAGTGGAATAGGATTATCTTGAAACGCCCAAAAAAAAGTGGTGTTATTTGCCATCAAACCTCAAAAATACACTTTCCCCAAAAGGTTTCCACAATTTCGGCCACTACTGTAGGTTGCAGACAAAGTGATCAGAAACTAACACTTTGGCCCATTCTGGGGAATGTTGGAATTCATTTAAAACAAAATAGATATCACCCAAAATAGCAATTTGCTGCTAATACCAATAGTACTTATCTCTAAAGCACCTGAGGGCAGGAGAAAAAGTAATAGATGGAAGCTTATTAAAGAGGAGAAATTTCCTATCAGTGCAGTGATGAAATCCAATTTTTTTTACTACCGGTTCTGTGGGCGTGGCTTGGTGGGCGTGGCAGGGAAAGGATACTGCAAAATCCTCATTCCCTCCCCATTCCTGGGGGAAGGATACTGCAAAATCTCCATTCCCACCCCACTCTGGGGCCAGCCAGAGGTGGTATTTGCCGGTTCTCCGAACTACTCAAAATTTCCGCTACCGGTTCTCCAGAACCTGTTGGATTTCACCCCTGTATCAGTGAAAACAATTAAGAAGTGGAACGGCTTGTCCCCAGAAGTTGGGAATGCTCCATCACTGGAGGTTTTTACGAATAAATTGGACAACTGAGTGTCTGGAATGGCATAGGGCCGTGATGGCGAATCTATGGCATGTGTGCTACACGTGGCACACATCACCCTCTTTGTTCACGCGCCTTCCACCGGCCAGCTGGTTACCGGGTCTCTGCCGAACATGTGCGGGATGCATGCAGGGGGGCTGGGCACATGCATTTTGGCAGTTCAGGCGCTTTGAGCACTTGGTTCGGAAAAGGTTAGCCATCACTGGTATAGGGTCTCTTGCAGGGGGTTGGATTAGAAGACCTCCAAGATCCCTTCCAACTCCGTTATTCTGTATTCTGTACTAACACAATCCTACAGTGTGGGATTCTGGCTTTTGAAGGCCTGAAGATCTCAAAAGCGTATTGGATTATTTAATATAAGAGAAGATTATTAGATTAGAACAAAATATAGATAAAATGATTACCCTTTAGTTATACATTTATAACTATAAATTTATAAGGGATGTGGTGGCTCAGGGGCTAAGACGCTGAGCTTGTCGATCGAAAGGTGAGCAGTTCAGCGGTTCGAATCCCTAGTGCCGCGTAACGGGGTGAGCTCCTGTTATTTGTCCCAGCTTCTGACGACCTAGCAGTTCGAAAGCACATAAAAAATACAAATAGAAAAATAGGACCACCTTTGGTGGGAAGGTAACAGCGTTCCGTGGCGCCTTTGGCATTGAGTCATTCTGGCCACATGACCACGGAGACGTCTTTGGACAGCTCTGGCTCTTCGTCTTTGAAACGGAGATGAGCACCGCCCCCTAGAGTCGGGAACGACTAGCACATATGTGTAAGGGGAACCTTTACCTTTAAAGGGTAAATCATTTTATCTATGTTTTGTTTTAATTAACCAGAAAGACAAATGAAATGAAACCTAGTTTTCTGTCCTAATCCAACCTATGAAGTTTTGTCAAGAGCACTCCATGGGATGTCCTTGAAAGTTTAGGTTATGTATTGCTAATCTAGAGGGTTTAAGGTCATGGAGCACAAACTCTGGCCTACTATTTTTCTACTTTCTCTCTCTTTCTGATGAATTTTATTCTAGATCAGTGGTGGGTTTCAAAAATTTTTACTACCGGTTCTGTGGGTGTGGCTTGGTGGGCGAGGCATGGCTTAGTGGGTGTGGCAGGGGAAAGATACTGTAAAATGTCCATTCCCACCCCAATCCAGGGGAAGGTTACTGCAAAATCCCCATTTCCTCCCGATCAGCTGGGACTCAGGAGGCAGAGAATAGATGGGGGCGAGGCCAGTCAGAATTTTTACTACTGGTTCTCTGAACTACTCAAAATTTCTGCTACCAGTTCTCCAGAACTGGTCAGAACCTGCTGAAACCCACCTCTGTTCTAGATGGTTCCCCTCCCCCCAAAAAAATTGCTTCCCTCCCCTCACTTAGGTTGCTCCTAGCTTTCCATTTTGCAGTCCCATCAGTAGAAGACATGGGCAGCCCTTCCATCTGGTCTGTGACAATTGGCCATGGCCAACTCACCAGGGCCATCCAGCCACAAGACAACTTGCTGTGGGACAAGAGTTACACTAATATTGAAGAAATGGTGGAACAGAATCATTCAAGAGAAGATGCGAAAGGAGGGACAGAATGAAATGTGAATGGCAAAAATTAAAATAATTTTTATTTATTTTAAATAATTAAATAGAATTGTTAAATTGTCCCAAGGCAAGTTGGCCATGGTGAGTTTGGCTGGGGTGAGTTGTCCCATTCCCCCTTCCATCTTTCCCACCTAGGTGTGTAGAAAGAGAGTGTTGGAAGAAACATCCTTCTAGGTTCTGCTCCAAGTGGGGAAAAAGACACTGGAAACATGGAGACTGCTTGGAAAGATGGTTTAATGGTGGACAGGATCACATGGCTTGAGTTCCTGAACAGAAAAGGGAGGAATACAGCGAGTCCACAGGTTTTTTTTCTTTCTTTCTCTCTTTCTGGCTTTGCATTTCTTGGGGCCCCGAAAGAGTATCCTGATTGGTTGTCAGACTCCCAGGGGGTGGGGGTCTTAGCTAGCCTTGCTGGCTGTTGGTCACATGTGCTTCCCCGGTCACATGCTTCCCAGGTCACATGTGGTGAGTTTCTGCTGCTATTGTGTAGAGGGCTAATCCTATCTTTGTTGGATCTTTGGCAATTCCTACTATGGCTCTGCCTGAAGGAGGTAGATCTTTGTTATGTAGAATAGACTGGCCCAGGCCTTAATGGCCCATTGACAAAGGGTGGGGGGCAGGAAGGTGGGAGCTGCTTTGTCTGTAAAATATGCTTCTCCATTTCTCATCCAGGGAAATATAATATTCTGCCTTTTTCATATTTCCTAAAACATTTCACTCTTCCAGGAAAGGGGTGGGTGCTAACTTCCTACAAGAGAAAGATAGACAACGGTATGGGGAAATTTGAAAGAACTATAAGAGGAAGGTACAGTCAGCTAAGTTTGGTCCAGTTGCTGTGATTCAACCTTTAGATACCTTTGGCCTGGATGATGGAGTCTTCATTGACGTGTCAGCTAAGAGCCTCTCCAAATTCCAAAAGCAATTGCAAAAATAAATTTGTTGCTGGAAGCACTCCAGTGAAGAAAACCCAAGCCACCCACCAGCTAAATATCATACTTTCCTCTTTTTCTATGGATTCTCAGTGGTTGTTGTTTTCAAAACGCCTGAAATACGGCTCTCAAAATAGCCTCATTATTTTTAAACATGGTAGCGTAAATTGCAGCATTTTTTTTTAAAAAAAATCATGTCCGTGCCGTGGCCCAGCACATATTTTATTATTTCCCCTTCTCTTGTGCAGTGGTGTAAAAGAAAACTTGCCTATGGTGGAAGAAATAACAGAATGACAGAATTGGAAGGGCTCTTGGAGGTCTTCTAGTCCAACCCCCTGCTCAAGCAGCAAACCCTGTACTATTTCAGACAAATGGTAGTCCAATCTCTTCTTTGCCAACTAGTGCTCTCCTAGTACGTGCTGATTGTCAGAGTATGAATATTCATGGACTGGAATAGATCAGCCAATGGGGATTGAATGGAGACATGGTAACAAGGTCAGCCAATGAGGCTTATTTAGAAACAGAAACTTAAGTCTGAAGTCTGGGCGTGGCTTATGCAACTGAGTCTGTGCAGAGAAATCGAAACTGAAACCAGTGAGTGTGAACTTGTCTGCTGATCTGCTCTGCTGAAATGAAACTAACTGTTCTCTCCTGCCTTGTATTCTGCCTGTAACTTCTACCACGAAGAAGAATCTATATTGGTATTGTAAAACTTACTTCATCTGTTATTATGAATGTAAAGAAGGTAATGAATCCAGCTGAATCAGTTTACCTGTGTGTGCTTCTGGATTTGATTTATGCAAGAAACTCTGACACTGATTGATGTCCTTGTCTACCCAAGTAAAAGACTCCCATCTCTTTGTTTTTTGCAGGCAAGCTGGACATCACCCCTGATGACCCTCGGTGGATTGGCGCATGGTGGGCTGGCTTCTTGCTTTGCGGTGCCTTACTTTTCTTCTCGTCTCTCCCGATGTTTGGATTCCCACAGTCCCTGACCCACCAGCCGGAGCACATAGCCGAGGTAGAGGAAGCCATGTTGCCAGAAGGGGACTATGAAAGGCCAAAGCCAAGCAATGGGATTCTCCCACCGCACTCCATGGAAGCCAACGATGATCCATCTTGCTTCCAGCAGCTGAGAGGTGAAGCACTTCCTTCATAGCCCAGGTGGCTTCTGCGGGAGCCGACAGGTTAATGACTAGCTCAGGGGTCGGCAACTTTAAACACTCAAAGAGCCATTTGGACCCATTTCCCACAGAAAAGAAAACACCGGGAGCCACAAAGGTCCTAACTGGAAGCCCCCCGTTCAATTCTGCAGCTGACCGGAAGTCCACTTTCCCCACCATAGAGTCTCCTCCTAGTGCGGCATCCTTTTTCCTCTACCTGTCCTAACTGAAAGCCCTATCAATTGTGGAGCTGATCAGAAAACCTGCCCCTTGCCATAGAGTCTCCTCCTGGTGCTCCTCCTGGTGCGCCACACCAACTGGAAGGTCCTCTCAAAATTGTGGCACCGACCAGTGTCAGGGAGCCACAACAGAGGGATGAAAGAGCCACATGCAGCTCCAGAGACAAGGTTGCTGACCCCTGGACTAGCTAGATTCATTACCTGATGAAGATCTCAGATTGCCTTGCCAATCTTAACTTCTTTCCCTCAATAGAATAGAATAGAATTCTTTATTGGCCAAGTATGATTGGACACACAAGGAATTTGTCTTTGGTGCATAGGCTCTCAGTGTACATAAAAAGACAAGATACATTCATCAAGAATCATGATACAACTCTTAGTGATAGTCATAGGTTACTAATCATACTAGGAAACAATAAAATCAATATAAATTGTAAAGATACAAGCAACATGGATATAGCCATTAGTGGGAAGAGATAGGTACTAGTAAGGATGAGAAGAATAATAGTAATACAGTTCTTAGTAAATAGTTTGACAGTGTTTAGGAAATTATTTGTTTAGCAGAGTGATGGCATTCAGGGAAAAACTGTCCTTGTGTCTAGTTGTTCTGGTGTGCAGTGCTCTATAGCGTCGTTTTGAGGCTAGAAGTTGAAACAATTTATGTCCAGGGTGCGAGGGGTCTGTAGATATTTTCCCAGCCCTCTTTTTGACTCGTGGAGTATACAGGTCCTCCATGGAAGGCAGCTTGGTAGCCCTTGTTTTTTCTGCAGTTCCAATTATCCTCTGAAGTCTGTGTCTGTCTTGTTGGGTTGCAGAGCCAAACCAGACAGTTATGGAGGTGCAGATGACAGACTCCATAATTCCTCTGTAGAACTGGATCAGCAGCTCCTTGGGCAGTTTGAGCTTCCTGAGTTGCACAGGGTGGATAAAAATCAATGATTTTTTTAAAAAATCAAAAAAAAATCAGATTTTTTTATTTAAATTGGATTTTTTTTATTTAAATTGGATTTTTTTTATTTTAAATCGGATTTTTTTGATTTTTATCAAATTTATTTTAATTAAAAAAAATTGGGGTAAAAATCTATCTTTAAAATAGTTTTCTATTTAAGATACATAAATAATTTAGTTTATTCAGCATGAAATGGAGCTTAGTTATGGAGCATGAGGCTGTATATTCTGAACACTGGGACTATCGGTGAGTCAACAGTGGGTCAAAGGAGGATTGTAAGAGGTGGTAGTTTAGGAGGGTTTCTCCTAAAATCAAATAGTGATTCTACCAACGGTTTGATTGAAATATGTGTGTGTATGTATGTATGTATGTATGTATGTATGTATGTATGTATGTATGTTTTTTTATCGAGGCACCTGGACTACCCCAACATGTGGGAGGGAGCATACTGCATCCCTTTCACCTTTCAGCTCCAATCCAGGAGCCCTCAAGCAGTCGCATTGACGACAAACCATTTTATACCAAATTTATATTTTCACTGATAAAGAAATAAAGGGAGACTAGTATAGATCTATTTCAAGCTATTTAGCTCTCATCAAATCCAAGTAAGGGTATGGCTAATCCCGAGTTAATCCCAAACACTAAAAGAACAACTGAATTAACACTTGATCTGGTTCACCATCTTGGATGACCTTGGCTTGACACAGCAAGCAGGTTTTCCATTCGTTCTCATGGCAACCTTTGATCCCCCTGCAAGCAGAACATTTGTTTCTAGGATCAAACAGTCTGTTGCTCTCGTCCAGTGATGGGTGTGCATTACCACGCCACTTTAAAGGTCACTGTGACCAAAATCATGGTTTATCTGGAGTCAGATGAACTTCTTTTTAGAACCAGTCACAGAGATGATTTTTTCATCTGAGCCAAAGGTGTTATGAACTACAGGGAGTCCTTGATTTACAACCGTTCATTTAGTGACTGTTTGAAATGACTATGGCATGAAAAAAGTGACTTCTGGTTGTTTTTCACACTTATGACACTCCCATTTTTGCGCTATGGACCCAGTAATCAAAATCAAACTTAAGTATCCATGCAATGCATTCAGCGATCACTAGATGGGCCTGCGTACCTCTTAATAGTCCAGATGAGTTAGATTGGCAGTGGGATATAGAACACAGATCATAGATAGCTCTTGTAGCTTTCAGTGAATATGGTTCAAATCCAACAAAGGATAAATCCAACAAACAAAACTGCTGTCAGGGTTCCGACTGATGCCCTAATTAAATCATCGAGCCAAGCTTCAAAAGAAATCCAGTTATTTATTAAGAGCTTCATGTTGGCACGTTCCTAAGTGAAGCCAACTCTGACCCCATGTAATTTACGACCCAAATGTGACCCTGTTTCCCCCCCTCCCCTCAGGGTGTGTCATCAGTCACATTCACCAACAGAGCAATTTCGCAGGTTGTAGAGATCATCCCCTTTGCTCGCTGTGGGTAACCCTGGGAGACAGCCTTGAGAGAGATATGTCTGGAATGTGCTTTTGTTTTTGGCTGCCGTGCTGCTTCGCCATTTTCCCATCCCCTTTGCCTATGGCAACTTGAGAGCAGGCCAGGGATGCTTTGTGAGTTGACAACTAATGTACAAGAAGTAGAGAGAGATGTTGTTTTTCTAGAGCTGGGACTAAAGAATTGTGGGCAAAAATATATATATATTTCTCTAAGAGAAGGAGACACTTTGACAATTTTTTTTCCAAAGGTGGAACTTGTTTTCCAAAGATGGTGGAAGCACCAATATTTTTTTAAAAAGGCTCCCGGGATAGAAAGATGAATAGCAAAGACTGTCTTTGGGTGGATGGATGAAAAGAGGACTTTGCCATGAAGGAGAGGATACATGCACAAACACACGTATACACACAAGCACACTGCTACCTCTTTCTGTCCACCTTATAATTGACAAGTGGAAGGACATTGTCTTCTGCCCGGCAGGATTTCCCCAATATTCTCTTCTCCTTTGAAAGGCATTTAAAAAAAAAAAATTCCCCTTTCTTTAAGAAATAAGAACTAGCAAGGGGGGAAAAAAGCACAAGTGAATTTCTGTGCCCAGCATTAAATCAGGCAACTCGGCCACTGAGCTTTGTAAACCGTGGTTTGTGGCTGTCAGGAATGTAGCCATCTCAAAACTGAGGAGCGCCTAAAATGATTATATGCACAAAATGGAAAGATTCAACCAGGGATGGGCTTCAAAAATTTTAACAAGGGGTTCTCTGCCCAGTTTCTGGGTGGGCATGGCCAGGGTTGGTGTGGCCTAGTCGGCCTCGTGCATTCTGGTGGGGGAGGGGAGTGTTTTTGCCCTCCCCAGACTCCTGAGGCTTTCCTCGAGTCTCCGGGAGGGCAAAAATGGCCTCCCCAGGCTACGGAGGCCCTCTGGAGGCCCTTCCTGAACTTCTGCTAGGCCTGTTTTTCATCCTTCCCATGCCTCCATGCGTGCCCTGCACTTACCTGCATCCAAAATAGGCCACGTGGGGACTCCTGGGATGGGAGGGGCTGGGTGGGTGGGGCCAGCCAGGCATGAGATTTGAGGGTTCTCCAAACTGCACAGAATCTTAGCTAAAGGTTCTCCCGAACCCCTACAAACCCCCAGCAGCCCACCCCTGGATTCAACACTATCCACTATGGCGGACTGGTGAAGTACAGATTTTGCTGAAATGGATGAATTTACTTCTTTGATTGGGGGTGGGGGAGACTAATTTATTGGTGATTAAAATGCTCCTGTGGCCATTTATGTAAAAATGAAAAAAAAAAATGACTGTTGTGATGATTAAATAGGATAGATTACAGAAAAAAAAAAAGAAGACTATGGAGTAACTTTAGAGAGAAAGAGGTTAAATATATTTATATTTATAAGTGCTGTGGAGATCAGAAGTCACTTTTTTATACCTTTTTTTCTTTCTTTTTGACTTTTTTTTTTGCTCCGATCTCTTTTTTTCTTTTTCTTTATATTAGTTGGCATTAGTTTTCATTTCTTATTTAAAACTTTTAACAAAAAAAAAAAAACCCTGAGGAGTGTAAAGACATCACGCTCCGTCCCTGAGAACATTTCCAGAAGTTGTCCTACTTCTTAAATGTCCTTCAAATTTCAAAGGAAAATTCTCTTTTATACTCTTCAATGAGAAATAGCAAAAAAAAAAAAAAATCTCTTTGTGTTGATTTTTTTCCCCCTTCCTGCTATGTTAAATTGATCTAAGTTGGTTAGTTATTTTAAAGATGGATTGTTTTTATACTCTTTTGAACTGTCCTTCAACTGCTATCAATATCTTTTAACATGCAATTGGGGTAGAAATCAGTGGTGGGTTTCTGTCATTTCTACTGGTTCACCCTGGTTCACCCCGGTTTGGGCAAACGGGTAGTGGTGGTGGCGGGAGGCTCCGCCCACCCGCTTGGACATCATCACGGACGCTCTGCGCCAGTGGTGGGTTGCTCCTGGTTCGCACCAGTTCGCAAGAACCAGTAGTAAAAATTTGTAGTAGTTCGGAGAACCAGTAATAACATTGGCTGGCTACACCCCCGAACTGGTCCCTGGCCCGGTCGCCGCTTGTTTACCTCACCCACCTCATCAGAGGCTTTTTTTTTTTACCTTTAAAAGCATTTTTTCTACAACCTTAAGAGGTTGCAGAAAAAAATGCCTTTAAAAGCCTCTGACGTTCAGGCAACTCAGCTGGGATCGCCAGAGGCTTTTAAAGGCATTTTTTTTTCTACAACCTCTTCGGCTAAAGAGATTTTGTAGAAAAAATGCTTTTAAAAGCCTGTGACGATCCCAGCTGGGTTGCCTGATCGTCAGAGGCTTTTAAAAGCATTTTTTTCTGCAACCTCTTAAGGTTGTAGAAAAAATGCTTTTAAAAGTAAAAAAAAAAAAAAGTTGGCCACGCCCACCCAGTCACATTACCCCCCACCAAGCCACTCCCACAAAATAAGCCACGCCCACAGAACCATTAATAAAAAATTTTAGAACCCACCCCTGCTCTGCGCATGCATAGTTCCGAACAGGTAGCGAAGGTAAGAGGACCTCCCCACTACTGGTAGAAATATTCCAACAACTAACAACAACAAAAGAGGAACATTTCAACCAATAACCAATATATGGAAATCAATAAATGCTCCAGTAGTAAATTTAGGAGAATATGGATGGAGATGCCACATCCAAGCTGCCATTTGGCGGTTTTAATTGTGGAATCCTGGGTGCTCTCTGAATTTGGTTGTTTTCTTGTAGAATTGTTTCATTACCCAAGCCAGATAACATCATCTGTGTTAGTAAGGAAACAGGGTTTTTCTTTTTTAAAAAAATCATTTTATATATTATTGACTTGCTCTCTCAGTGTTAGTGGGAATGGACTCCTTGATTGGGCTGTTGTTTTAGTTGCGATTGGCAAGTGGGGTCGTATTCTTTCACTAAACCTTCTGATCCAGTTTAGAAATGAAAAATTCTAGCTTGTAAGTTTTTGTTTTAAATTATAATGTTCGGTGGAAACTTGCTTCACTGAATTTTTTTGCTTTTGGTTCTGTTTCCACCCTGGATTTCACCCCTGATGACCTTCAGTAGGTTGGAAATAGACGAGCAGATACCCATAGCTTAAACCAGAGGTCTTCAAACTTGGCAACTTTAAGACTTGTGGACTTCAACTCCCAGAATTCTCCAGCCGGCATAGTTGACTTGTTGAAGTCCACAAGTCTTAAAGCTGCCAAGTTTGAAGACCTCTGGCTTAAACTCATGTCGTCAAAGCTTCATCTGGTAGATCCTTCTAGCTGGAGCAGCTGTGGTGTATCCAATTCTTCTCACCACAGCTGGAATCATCCCATGGAATTTTCTCCCTGTCCACATGGGTTGTGTTGATAGATGGTCTGGAGAAAACCCCAAAGATGCACCGTCAAAGAAATTAAAACAGGGCATGGTGGAGATAAACCTCATTGTGAAATTGTCCCTCCGTTCTTCTCTCTTCCTCCTTCCAGTGATCCCAAAGGTAACTAAGCACCTGCTGTCCAATCCGGTGTTCACCTGCATTATTCTCGCGGCTTGCATGGAAATTGCGGTGGTGGCAGGTTTTGCAGCCTTTCTTGGCAAGTACCTAGAACAGCAGTTCAATCTCACAACGTCGTCAGCCAACCAGTTATTAGGTGAGTTATTAGCCAGAAGAGGTCAACCCTTTCCCTCCCCCCCACCCCCCGTCAAAGATAGAGCCTAAGGGTCAACATCCATCTTGAGAATCCAAATTAAAGTCCAGGATCATTCTGTTTCCAAAATTCCTTACTGTTTATTGAATACACTGCATTAGTAATGTCGAAGCAAAACTAACTCTGAAGTTCCCAAACCTCAGTCCATAGAATAAAACAACACTTTCCCAAGCCTTTAGCACTTAGACTTATATACCACTTCATAGTGCTTTACAGCCCTCTCTAAGCAGTTTACAGAGTCAGCCTCTTGCCCCCAACAACCTGGGTCCTCATTTTACCCACCTCGGAAGGATGGAAGGCTGAGTCAGCCTTGAGCCTGGTGAGATTCGAACTGCCCAAATTGCAGGCAGCTGGCAGTCAGTAGAAGTAGCCAGCAGTACTGCACTCTAACCACTGCGCCACCACAGTACTGCACTCTAACCCCCAACCTCTCACATAGCCCATGCAAAAAACGTTCTCATAGTTATGGGAACCGTCTGCTTCAACTCCACACCTGTTGTGATGTCCTTGAACAGATTCCAGGTTTCCGCGGAACCTTCAGCAGAATCGTGGAAGTTTCTCTTCTCCATCTAACCCATTCGAAAACAACCGCCTCTTACTCTAATGACAAGCTGAAACGAAGAGGCATGTAGTTGCCAAAGTTTCCATCCTTAACACTGGATGGAAGTGTCTCGAGCTGGGATCAGGCTAAAAACTCAAAATCCAACCCTTTCCATTCCTTTTACAGGCATGACGGCTATTCCTTGTGCATGTTTGGGCATCTTCCTAGGAGGACTCTTGGTGAAGAAGCTGAGCCTTTCTGCCCTGGGTGCCATTCAGATGGCCATGTTGGTCAGCCTGGTGTCCACGGCTTGCTACGTTTCTTTCCTTTTCCTGGGCTGCGATACGGGACCTGTGGCTGGCATTACTGTTCCCTATGGAAACAAGTAAGTAAGAGAGAGAAAGGTTCCCCCACCCCCGGTCATGGCGATTTCTTTTTTTGCACCCCACCCCTAGAGAAGACCGCAGAATGGTTGGAAGGGACTTAAGAGATCACAAAGTCCAACCCCCTTCACAGGGCTCACATTCTTTGATAGATGACTAACCTTTGGTGGATAGTTGCGGGATTTAGCAGGCATCATTAGATCCGGCAGAGAAAGCTGTGAAGGCATCTACAAACAGGGAGAGGGAAAATGGGAATAGGAATAGTCGTGAAAAGGTAGTTTGTTAAAGGTAGTTTGTGTCAGATGTAAATGCCTTATTCTCCAATGTGTAAATAATGTATATAGGAACATCAGAGGTTAACTTATTCTTTGGACTTTAATGTATTCATAACTTACCACTCCCATTCCTAGCTCCACCCCTTGTATATATAAGGAGCCACCCTCACCATTCTCGTCGCTTCTACCTTGAATATTCAGTGAATATAGAATGCCTATCATAATTAAAAAGAAATATATTTAAAGCTCTAACTCCAATTATCTTTATTGAGTCTGATCCTGAAAATATTGCAACAAGCTGGTAGCAGAGGATGGTTAATTGACTCAATAAGTAATTAAAAATGTCCAAGAAAGATAGGCCCAACACCAGGGCCTACAGCAAAGAAATAGAAACTGATCAAGAGATGATCAACGAATCCACCAATGCGATTTCGAGAGAATCCGAAGAATACACCACTGAAGAAGAAGAACTAATGAGTGAAAATAATGACCAGAAAGAAATCGAAATAGAAAATAACGAACTCAGGTCAGAGATATTAAAGATACTAAAAAGCCAAAAGAATGATGAAAGTCTCATCGCGGACCTCCAGGAGATGCTGAAGAACAGCGGAGCAACGAGAGAGAAAAACGTCATTAAAGAAAAACCCAAAGATCAAAAAACCGTAAGTGAGATGACTACTGAGAAAATAGTTGTTAAAAAGAAAAGATGTGATCCCGCGCGAAATTTTGAATGGCAGCCATCTTGGTTTCAACGAACTTCAAAAGAGAATGGAGCAGAGCCAATCAAAACGCTCAGTTCAAAATTTCTGGCGCGAAAAACACTATCAGACGAAGAAAGTGAGAAAGAAGTCTCAAACTCTTCAGATGATCCAAAATCAGAAAGTGAAGACGATTTAACAAAATCTCAAGTAAAATCAGCAATGAAAACGCTTTTTGCTGCTTTTGGGCCAAGACTGAAAATTACCAAGACATCTACGAAGAAGCAAGAAATCAAACCGGCGACTCAAGACCTGCACGCTCCCATCCTGACTTCGAAAGCGACGACGCCCGAGCCCAGAGAGCCATGCCGATTTCGCCCTACACCACAGACAAAATTGAATACCAACGCACACAAAAAGAAGAAAAGAACCGTCATCACCACCAGAACCCAAAAACCGAGCCAGAGACCGACTCATCTGAGGAGGAGCGGATCGAGAGAGCTGAAAGGGAGAGAACCTTCACGACGCCACCAAAGAAGAAATGAGCAACGCGCATGTGCGAAACTACGTAGACGACCCAGAAGGACTTGAACTGGCCAGAGAACCGCGCAGACTCATTGCAAGCATCCCAATGCCGTTCTGTAATTTCCTGCACTTGAGAGATCACGGACTGCCCCAGGTTGTAAGTAATGGACAGAATAATGTAGGTAACTTACCCAGTGACTTCCCAAAACTTAGAATTGATGGCATTAATTTACAAGAGTGGTACCAACAGCTTCAGGTTATTTTCATGAAAGAAAATTTACTATTCTTTATAACTAGCCCTCCAAGAAGACCTTGGACTTTAAAAATAGATTGTTTACATCATAGAGCATTTTTCATAATAATATCTAGCGTGTCCCCTGCAATGTATCATAGCATCAAACCAAACCTAACTGTATCAGAAATAATTCAATGCATGTTTAATCTATTTCACAGCGATAGCGTAGCTACAACCACAAGAATGTCTAAGGATTTCTTTTCCTCTAGAGTAAAACCAAGGGGTTTCTATAAGTGAGCATTTGATAAATCTAAACAAAATAAGAGCTGAGCTACAATTGAGGGGGGAAGTGATTTCAGATCAAACAATGAAAAGTGTTATTATCAATTCACTTGATCCATCATGGGATAGCTTTATGTCACACTTAGATACCATTAATTTGGGATATTTATCCATAGAAAGTCTATCTAACAAATTGATAGCAGAAGACAATTCAAGAAAAAATCGATCCAGTAACCAAACAGACCACAAACCTTTTAGGAAAGTAGTCTTTCAAGATAAACATAATGAGGCCTTTAGATGTTACAATTGTGGATCCAGGGAACATAGTAGAAGAGACTGCCCCAAAGCCTCAAGAGAGAGACATAGACCAGAATATAGGAGCAAATATAATTACAGACAATCTTCCACAGATAGACACAAATATAGAAGCCCACCAAATTACAAAGAAGGTAGAGGGGGTAGAGAAAATTCAAAAGAGAGGAAATCTGGGTCACTGAATGGGCTAAATAAACAAGACAGCACCAGAACACAGCAGGATGAGAATAACAATTGGCTTATTGATTTGGTGCAACAAATCACACCACCAACAACAAAAAGTATATTATCTTCATTTATAGAAGATAAGTTTGTGATAAAGGTAGCTAATCAAGAAAAGGTTCAAGTACTAGGCAAAGGAAATGTGACCTTGCCTGGTCTAGGGAAAATAGAGGGGGTATTATTAATCCCAGAAATACCTCACAACATACTAAGTGCCATAAAATTAAGCAGAGAATCTGATATCAATATAGTTTTCTCAAAGGGGAAAGCAACTATAGAAAAGAACAAAACAAATGTAGGTACTGTAATGATAAAAGGAGGTCTACCCTATCTGATAACTATAGAAAGATGTTTACATAACATTGATTCAAATATGGAAGATTGTATTGAAGCAGATGATGAAAATGTCAGTAACAGTGACAATGATGAGTGTAGAATAACTCATGATCACAAAAATACATACAAGGAAAAGAAACCAAAAATAGGTAAACCAATTCATGATGAGTGTGCTCACATCTTACACAGGAAGTTAGGACATGCAAGCTTTCCTGTAGTACAAAAAATGACTGAACACGCAAGGTGTCAAAATAAAAAAATTGTGTGAAAATTATTTGGAATGCTCAGTATGTAAGTCCACCAAACTAAAAACCAGTCCCAGACCAAAAAAATCTAACAGATCAACTAACAATATTTTTGATTTGGTACACATGGACTTAGTTGGTCCATTAAGTCCCTCAATTACCTATAGAAAACGTTACTTCCTAACAATAGTGGATGACTACAGCCGATATGGTTTTTGTTTACACATTAAAGCACAAGGATGAAACATTTCAGAAATTTAAGGAATTCTACAAACGTATAGAAACACAACATAATATCAGAATAAAGCAAATTATGACAGATAGGGGATGTGAGTTCATGTCTAAAGAATTCTCCCAATGGTTAAAGGATAGAGGAATGTTACATTTCACGTCCAATCCTTTTTCTGCATTTCAAAATGGAGTTGCAGAGAGGAAAAATTCCACACTACAAACCATGATTAGGTGCACATTAGAGGATGCTGGTTTAGGCAAACAATTTTGGTCAGAGGCATTACATTATTCGAATTACACTCAAAATAGAACCTGGTCCAGTATGTGAATAAGACACCATATGAGGTGATGTACAATAGAAAACCCAAATTATCACACATGCACATATTTGGAGTCACTGCAGACGTACACATACCTAAACAATTGAGGAGAAAGGGAGAAAACGTATCCAGGAGATTAAGATTCATGGGATACGAAACTGGAACCAAAGGGTACAGATTTATTGATAGTAATAACAAATTTATAGTATCCAGAACAGCTGTGTTCCATGAACAGGCCAATTGGTCAAAATTGCACCTTAATGAAATATTTCCTAATAAATGTAAAGATACGATATCTTGCGAGGAAGGAACAACAGAAAATCAAATATTAACAAAAGTAAGAACAAAACCAAAACTTGGACTAATAGTCAGCATAAAATAAAGACAGACACATTAACAAAAAAGGAAGCTAGATATTTGCATGATAACCATAGCAAGCCTGAAAGAACTATTAGAAACAATAGAAACCAAATACCAAATAAATACAAAGATTACATAATGCATATGAATGGAGAACAAATAACACCTAATACATATGAAGAAGTATTGAAACTTCCACATGAAGAAAAGAGAAAAATGGGAACTAGCTATGGAAAAAGAGATGGAAAGTTTACAAGGATTAAATGTATTCACACCTGCGATCGCACCTAAGGATAAAACAATTATAGGTACCAGGTGGATTTATAAAATTAAGAACTTAGAAGGAGGCAATACCTTATACAAGGCTAGACTAGTTGCACAAGGCTATGCACAAAAATATCCAGAAGACTATACTGATACATATTCACCCACAGTGAGAACAGAGAGTGTCAAAACAGCCCTTGTAGTAGCATCTGCACTCAATCTGGACGTATTCCAATATGACATACAGACCGCATACTTACATGCAAAATTAGATAAGGAAATATATGTAAGAGCACCACACAGTCAATACACTAATAAGAACGAAATTTGGTTATTAAATAAGAGTCTGTACGGATTGAAGCAATCCGGCAAAAGATGGTACGATTGCTTGGTAAAAGTACTTAAGACCATGGATTTCAACGCCACCACTGCTGATAACTGTTTCTTTGTAAAAAAGAGTAATGATCATATTGAATTTGTATTAATTTACGTGGACGATATTTTATACATTGGAAAGCATAAAGAGAGCAGGGAAATCTTTGTAAATAAGTTAAATGAACACTTCTCACTGAAATCTCTGGGTAAAGTGAATAAATACCTTGGTGTGCAAATTAACAAAACTAAAAGGGGATTCAAACTTACACAGAAAGATAAAATCATCGAACTCCTAAACAAATGTAACTTAAATAATGCTAAAACCTGTGACACCCCTATGCAAACTGATTTCCTTAGAAACACTGATGAATCTTCCCCTGAGTTTAAAGACAACACATTTTACAGATCAGTTATAGGTTCACTCCTTTATATATCTAATTGGACTAGGCCAGATATTGCATTACCTCTCAATCTATTGTCAAGATATGTTAGTAAACCAACCTTGTATCATTGGGAAGCTGTCAAAAGAATTCTAAGATATCTGAAGGGTACATTAGATTTTTGTTTAATGTTGGAACCCAATAATGACAGAGAACCAAAAATTACTTGTTATGCTGATGCAGATTGGGCTGGTGATACATCATGCAGAAAGAGTACTTCTGGTTATGTTTTTCTATTGAATGATTGTCCAGTTTACTGGTATACTGGTAAACAAGAACTAGTAGCCACTTCTACTACAGAAGCGGAATATGTTTGTTTGTCCAAGGCTGCAAATAACCTTGTATGGTTCAATGATCTGATCGCTGATGTTTGGAAGAAACCCACCTTACCATTTATTATGCATGAAGACAATAAAGCGGCCATTGAAATATCCAGATCCGATGCAATTGGACAAAGGTCCAGGCATATTGATATAAAGTTTAAGCATGTGAGACAACTGTCTCAAGACGGATTCATTAAAGCAATACATTGCGATACTTCTGAACAATTAGCTGACATATTAACAAAACCCTTACCTTCTAAACAACACAAATATTTAACTTCTAAATTATATGTATTATATTGTCCTGAATCAGAATGTAATTGGTGTTGTGTAACGAACCGGCATTTAGAGGGGGATTTGTCAGATGTAAATGCCTTATTCTCCAATGTGTAAATAATGTATATATGGAACATCAGAGGTTAACTTATTCTTTGGACTTTAATGTATTCATAACTTACCACTCCCATTCCTAGCTCCACCCCTTGTATATATAAGGAGCCACCCTCACCATTCTCCTCGCTTCTACCTTGAATATTCAGTGAATATAGAATGCCTATCATAATTAAAAAGAAATATATTTAAAGCTCTAACTCCAATTATCTTTATTGAGTCTGATCCTGAAAATATTGCAACAGTTTGTTTCAAACTCGGAGCCAGTTCAAGTTGTTCTTGAACTGGCTGGATGAACTGTCTGTTCTTTGCAACATGTAAGGGCTGTAACCAGCATTAGGACACCCCTATCCTGTGGGATAGCCTGGATTGACAGTTAGTGACAGGCACAAAGTCACCCTCAGACTTTCCAGAACTTCACAGTTCTAGTCCATCAGTTGCTGAGGGACATCAGTGAGTAAATAGAGTTCCTTTATGTCCTGGTGAGTTTCCCAGAAATGTTGGCCACAGGGAGAAGTCAGCAGCTCCCGGAAGGTGTTCAGCTTCCTAAGGCCCCAACCAGACCCCAGCAGTGTCGTGAATGTCCCCTAGCCTGCCTTTTCTTTCTTTTTTTCTTTTTTCTTTCTTTTTTCTTTTTCTTTCTTTCTTTCTATTTCTTTCTTTCTCTCTCTCTCTACCTTCCTTCCTTCCTATCCTCTCTTCCTCCCTCCATCCATCCATCCCTCCCTTCTTTCTTTTCTTTCTTTTCTTTCTTCCTTCCTTCCTTTCTCTCTCTCTCCCTTCCTTCCTTATCTACCTACCTACCTTCCTTCCTTCCTTCCTTCCTTCCTTCCTTCCTTCCTTCCTTCCTATCCTCTTTCCCTCCCTCCCTCCCTCCCTTCCTTCTTCTCTTGATTCCCAGATGACTCTGGGCCCTTTACAACTAAAAAGGTTTTCCTACCTGTTGATTGACCCCTCGCCCTTATCCACCCACCCACTCACTCACTCACCCTTCCTTCCTTTTTTTTTCTTTTCTTTTCTAGGTCAACCATCTCCAGCTTGGCCCCCTATTCTGCCTGCAATAGCAACTGTAAATGTCAAATGGATTCCTTCACTCCAGTTTGCGGGACCGATGGGATCACATACTTATCTGCCTGTTTTGCTGGTTGCACCAACATGGTAATCCCTTATTTCTTCCCTTCTCCAATCTATTTCAGTCAACTGTTCTCTCTTTCTCTCTCTCTCTCTGTGTATGTGTATATGTATGCTTATTTTCTTGTGGCCCTGTCTGAAGCTGCAGGATATGTGGACTAATTTGGTCCTTAGTTGTCCCCATGTCTCCCCACGCACCAAAAAAAGCCTGTTAAAGGGATGCGGTGGGTATCTTAAGGCTCTGCAAGATTCAAGTCCCTTATTTTGCTTCTTAAACCACCCGCCTCCAAAATAGAGAAGGGTCTGAAATGTGTCATTTTGCCCATGATGGGGAAGCTTTGTGGCTCACAGCAAGCCTAAGGTTCCAAATTGCCCAATCTCAGGTTACATTTGTGTTACATTTAAATTTTTAAGAGCTGTGGTGGCGGAGTGGTTAGAACACAGTACTTCAGGCTACTTCTGCTGGCTGCCGGCTGCCTGCAATTTGGCAGTTCGAATCTCACCAGGCTGGTGAGTCACCAAGGTTGACTCAGCCTTCCATCCTTCCGAGGTGGGTAATATGAGAACCCAGATTGTTGGGGGCAATAGGCTGTCTCTGTAAACTTCTTAGAGAGGGCTGTAAAAGCACGATAAAGCAGTATATAAGTCTTAAGTGCTATTGCTATTTATACCTTTTATAAAACACCTCAATCCCTGAAGCAACAATCGGTCAAGTGCAATTAAACAGAGGGGGGTTGGAAATAAGAGTTGCTTGTTTCAAAGTGACCCTACAGAATTTCTTGTGTAGTTGATCATGCAGTGACTATGCCCTGCCTCACATAATAGAGATATCTGGATTGTTACTATCCAAATCAATTCTAGAGCCGATGAAAAGTAATATAGAAAATGAATGAATGAATGAATGAATGAATGAATGAATGAATGAATGAATATTGGATGCACTTACAGATGATGGTGATGATGCAAACATCAATACATTTTTGGTAAATTTTATTGAAATTATCATAGTGTAAAGTACAAATGAAAGTAAAGATAATAGGGAAATGGGAAGGATAAAAAAGAGAAAGAAATGTAGGATAAAGGAGGAAAGAAAAAAAAAGCCCTGACGTCCATCATTTCTCAGCGCAGTAAAATACAGAATAAAATTATAGCCTCAATTTTTTTACTTTTACATACAATAGTGGCCAAAATTGTGGAAACCTTTTGGGAAAAGTGTATTTTCTAAAACTAGCTCATAACACCACTTTTTTGGGGAGTAGTTCTCTAAAATTATATGTCAATGGAAAAATAATTTAATCAAGAATGTAATGCAATAACTTTTATGAAGGATTTGCTCTTAGAATAGCAGTTACAGTATAAAGAAGAAAAGTGAAACAAGTAGAAAAAACGTGATATACAAAAATGATCACCATGTCAGTCAATACTTAGTGGGGTAACTTTTAGCATGAATGACGGCCTTACAACATCTTCCCATGGAGTGAACCAAGTCTTTTAGTTCTGCAGCTGTTACAATATGAAACCAAGATTGAATGATGGCTTCTATTCACTGGGTTTTATTGCTGGGTCACCTCTGACTAACAAGTTTCTTTAGTGGGCTCCATAGATTTCCAATTGGGTTAAGGTCTGGGCTATTCCCAGGCCATTCTAGCAGTGGAATAGGATTATCTTGAAACTCCAAAAAAAGTGGTGTTATTAGCCATCAAACCTCAAAAATACACTTTGCCCAAAAGGTTTTCACAATTTTGGCCACTACTGTACATAGTAATTACTAGCCATCTCTATAATGGTCAGCAAAATGCAAACTCAGGGGCTTTTTTTTTCTTTCTTTCTGTGCACATACCCAGTTCTGTGCTTAAAATATTAGCTTCTGTGAATAAATTAACAGGTATAGTATTAAAACTATATTTTGTAGTATTCTGCCTTTCTAATAACATTTCCCCAATGGATAACAAGATATAAAATATTGAATATGGTTGTCAGTTTCCCTGATTGAGCATAAGTTAATACAGCATTTTTATGGATAATTTATTCTGATTCTGTTAGCTATGAGAGGAGCAAAGACTGGGAGGTGGGAAAAATCTCAGAAGGGATCTTTCCTAGCTTCTTAGACTTTAAAGCCCTTTCAGTCTTGTAAGATTCTCTTACGATAACCTTACAATAAAGTAGAATTAGTTCATCTAGGTTGCTTCCTATTTGGGCTACCTCACAAGGCTGACCCAAAGTAGCTGCATTGTCATAGAAACTGTTCAATGCTCCTCTCAACGCTATAACCAAAAGCATTTTTAAGATTTTGACAGTCTTCATTAACAAGGGGCTAAAACATATAAAGAACAGTTGCTGGAATTGGGTATGTCTTGTTTAATGAAAAGAAGGAGTAGGGGTGACATGATAACAGTGTTCCGATATCTCAGGGGTTGCCACAAAGAGGAGGGAGTCCAAAGCACCTGAGGACAGGACAAGAAGCAATGGATGGAAACTAATCAAGGAAAGAAGCAACCTAGAACTAAGGAGAAAATTTCTGACAGTTAGAACAATTAGAGTTGTTATTGTTAGTTGCAAAGTTGTGTCCGACCCATCGCGACCCCATGGACAACGTTCCTCCAGTCCTTCCTGTCCTCTACCATCCTCTGGAGTCCATTGAAACTCAAGCCGAATGCTTCAGTGACTCCATCCAGCCACCTCGTTCTCTGTCGTCCCCTTCTTCTTTTGCCCTCAATCGTTCCCAGCATTAGGCTCTTCTCCAGGGAGTCCTTCCTTTCTCATTAGGTGGCCAAAGGATTTGAGTTTCATCTTCAGGATCTGGCCTTCTAAAGAGCAGTCAGTCAGGGTTGATCTCCTCTAGGACTGACCGGTTTGATCACCTTGCAGTCCAAGGGACTCGCAGGATTAGTTTAACGGCTTGCAATTAGTGTAATGGCTTGCAATTAATCAGTGATACAATTTACCTGCAGAAATTGTGAATGCTCCAACACTGGAAGTTTTTAAGAAGAAATTGGACAACCATTTGTTTGAAATGGTATAGGGCCATGATGGAGAACCTATCTACTCTACTCTACTCTACTCTACTCTACTCTACTCTATCTACTCTACTCTACTCTACTCTACTCTACCCTTCCCTTCCCCATTCTTCTATTCTATTCTATTCTATTCTATTCTATTCTATTCTATTCTATTCTATTCTATTCTATTCTATTCTATTCTATTCTATTCTATATTACCCTACCCTACCCTACCCTACTCTACTCTATATAGGACATTGAAATTCTAGAAAGAGTGCAGAGAAGAGCAACAAAAATAATTAGGAGGCTGAAGGCTAAAAATATTGAGGAATGGTTGCAGGAATCGGGTATAACTAATTTAATGAAAAGAAGGATTAGGGGTGACGTGATAGCAGTGTTCCAATATCTCAGGGGCTGCCACAAAGAAGAGGAGTCAAGCTATTCTCCAAAGCACCTGAAGGCAGAACAAGAACCTATCTACTCTACTCTACTCTACTCTACTCTACTCTACTCTACTCTACTCTACTCTACCCTTCCCTTCCCTTCCCTTCCCTTCCCCATTCTATTCTATTCTATTCTTATTCTATTCTATTCTATTCTATTCTATTCTATTCTATTCTATTCTAACCTGGGACACATATATTTGCCTTCATTCCTCCTGAAACTTTTATCAGCTCATCAACTAACTATGAACCAGGGCGGGAAAATGCCATCCAGCTCTGATTCTTAAACAAAGCAACTTAGCTGTGCTTCCGGGATTGGAATGACGTTTGTCTTCTAGGTTGCAAACTGCCACTAATTTTGCAGTGAACTTCATTTTATGGGCATCACAATTTCATTCTATGGGCACACAGCAATGGGTTGATGAGGTTCTTTTGAGAAGCAATGGGGTGAACAGAGGCAGGCTTTTCCTGGGAAGCTGAACAGAACTCGATAAAGAAGGCCAAGCAATCTAAGAATTTCTGATTAATTCAGGGTTGTTGTTGTTGTTATTGCTTTTTAACCAAAAAGCTAAGGAAATGTTACGAAGGTATACTGGCGAGTGCTGTGTGTTCAGTGTGAAATAAAAAAAAATCAAATTATTTCTGCTACCCAAGCTATTTTATGGACTGGATAGCCTTCTTTTGCAGTGGAAGATTTGGGTTGCTTTGGTGACAGACCGATCGGATATCAAGTTGTTTTGTTCTGACTCTCTGACTTGATGTGAACTAAGTCTCCCAAATTGGAAGCAAACAGAGTCTGCCTTATTTCCGAATTTTTTTCAGAATCAAAATAAAGACAGTTGCTCTTTCGCTCAACCTGGAGAGCCCAAGATCCTGAAAATCAGCAAAAGAGATTTTCATTGTCTGAATTCCATCATGGGCAAGGAAAGGAATGGCATCAAATGGCCCCATCTTTCTTCCACTGCCTGCCTCCCACTCCGGCAGGCCTTAAGTATCTGTAGTCTTGCTGGCAGCCATTTCTTGGGGGGGGGGGAGAGGTGTCTGTATTCCACCAGACTGCACAGCTAGCTGCCTACCTGTCACAACGCTGTCCTGCGAAAAGCAATCGCAGCTGTCTAATGAAGCACACGCTAGGGGTGCGTGTTTCTGTAGCTTTTCAATTACTGAATCTCTAACCGTCCGAGGCAAACCAGTTCAAATGAGCACCTACGGGAAGAATGAAAATCGTTCTCGGCATCTTTTGGGAATAGTCACTTTGATTGCAATGTGTGTTGAAAGGCAGGTGGAGGAGGTGGAGGAGAGAGGAGGAGGAGATGGAGGAGGAGGAGGAGATGCAGGAGAGAGGAGATGGAGATGGAGGAGAGGAGGAGGAGATGGAGGGGGAGGAGGGGGAGATGGAGGGGAGAGAGGAGGAGGAGGAGATGGAGGAGAGGAGGAAGAGGAGATGGAGGAAGGGGAGGAGGAGATGGAGGAGAGGAGGAAGAGGAGATGGAGGAGAGGAGGAGATGGAGGAGAGGAGGAGGAGATGAAGGGGGAGGAGGGGGAGATGGAGGGGAGAGAGGAGGAGGAGGAGAGGGAGGAGAAGATGGAGATGATGGAGGAGAGGAGGAGATGGAGGAAGACAGGAGGGGAGGAGGAGGAGATGGAGGGGAGGAGGAGATGGAGGAGAGGAGGAAGAGGAGATGGAGGAGAAGAAGAGGAGAGGAGGAGGAGATGGAGGAGGTGGAGGATGGGAGAGAGGGGGAGATGGAGGAGAGAGGAGGAGGAGATGAAGGAGGATGAGGAGGGGAGGAGGAGGAGATGGATAAAACAATAGAAAAAAAAAAAGGCACAAAGCTAATCTGAGTCTAGCCCATGTCACCCGTGGCTCTTTGAATGATAGAGGAGATTGGATCTAGGGATACAATTTACCATGTAATCTTAGTTTTATTGCTTCCCTCTTTATCCTAAGTAACCCAAGTCCTGAAATGGGAATGTGATGAATGGAAACGTATCAAGGAGAAAACCAACCTGCAGTAGAACTACGGAGAAATTCCCTGATAGTTTAATCAGTGAAACAGCTTGTCCCCAGTAGTTGTGGGATGCTCCAACAGTGAAGATTTTTAAGAAGAGATTGGGCAGTCATTTGTATGAAATGGTATAGGATTTCCTGCAGGGGTGAAATGCTCCCTGTTCGGACCGGATCACCCCGATCCAGTAGTGATGGTGGCAGGTGGTTCGGAGAACCAGTAGCAAAAATTCCTGCCCCCCCCCCCATTGCCCAGCTGAGTCGTGTGATCATCAGAGGCTGTTTTTTTTAACTTTTAAAAGCATTTTTTCTACAACCTCTTTGGCCGAAAAAATGCTTTTAAAAGTTAAAAAAAAAAAGCCTCTGATGATATCACGCGGCTCAGCTGGGATCATCAGAGGCTTTTAAAAGTATTTTTCTGCAACCTCTTCGGCCAAAGAGGTTGTAGAAAAAAAAATGCCTTTAAAAGCCTCTGACGATCCCAGCTGAGTTGCCTGATCGTCAGAGGCTTCTAAAAGCATTTTTTTCTGCAACCTCTTAAGGTTGTAGAAAAAATGCTTTTAAAAGTTTTAAAAAAAAAAGTTGGCCACGCCCAACCAGTCACATTCCCCCCCCCAAGCCACGCCCACAGAATCGGTAGTAACAAATTTTAGATTTCATTCCTGGTTTCCTGCTTAAGTGGAGGGTTGGATTAGAAGGCCTCCAAGGACTTGTAGAATAACTGGAAGAATAACTCTGTTACTCTATTGTTTTGAAATCCCAGATTCAAAATAAAGTTGGGAGGGACCTTTGAGGTCTTCTAGTCCAAACGGCTGCTCAAAGCAGAAGATCCTATATTATTCCAGACAAATGATTCTCCTTGTCCAAACTCTGCTTAAAAACTTCCACTGTTGGAGGAGCACCCACAACTTCTGGAGCAGTGGAGGGTTTCAAAAATTTTTACTACCAGTTCTGTGGGGGTGGCTTGGTGGGTGCGGCAGGGAAAGGATACTTTAAAATTTCCATTCTCTCCCCAATCCAGGGGAAGGTTACTGCAAAATCCCCATTTCCTCCCGATCAGCTGGGACTCAGGAGGCAGAGAATAGATGGGGCCAGTCAGAATTTTTACTACCGGTTCTCCGAACTACTCAAAATTTCCACTACCGGTTCTCCAGAACTGGTCAGAACCTGCTGAAACCCACCTCTGCTCTGGAGGCATGCCGTTCCATTAATTAATTGTTCTAACTGTCCGGAAATTTCTCCTTAGTTCTAGGTTGGATCTCTCTTTGTTAAGTTGCTTCTTCTCTTGCCCTCTACCTTTCTCCTTTATCTTTTTTCCCTTTTCCCTTTACCTTTCGATTGTATTTTAAGTCTTATCAGCGAAGCTGGGGTTGAGAAAAATGTGGAGTGGAATTGGAACGTAATTGAATGCTTGCATTTAGAAACACTTTCCCCCTGGGAAACCCAGAATCTTCCTTTTATCTCTTCCTTGCCAGGGATCTGAATTTATGGTAATTTTCTCGAAGTCCTGCTTATTTGAAAGGCTTGAAAGAATCAAAGGAAAAATACAATGGCGTGCTTCCGAGGTCAAATCTCTTCAAACTGTTTTGCTCTCTCCGTCGGCAGAGGAGCAAAAGAAAGAGATATATATATTGCCTCTTGCCAAGATCTTTGTTTTGTAAGAAAAGGGCAACACAACACTGGAAGAGCGACCCCCATATGTCAGTGGGATTCACGGTTATGCTATGATTCTGCAGAAGGATCTGTCTCTCCTCTAAAATCAGCCAAGGTCAACTCAAAGTGCTACCATTTCTGAAGCTACGATAATAAGTCATTGTGTAACTGGGCGCTTGTTAATGTGTGGACAACGCCTACGGAAATCTGAGAAGGCAGAATAAAGTCAAAGGAGAAGGCAGACTCTGCTGCCTCCCACTGGGTCAATCTCAAGGGGTCCCTTAGTTCTTCAAGGAATTTTAGGAAATGAAATGCCAGAAGGTTTAACTACTTGGTGCTCTCTGATCTTAGCAGATGTTTCATTACCCAATGAGGTTACATCATCAGTGCTAGAAGGGAGTGGGGTGTGCAGAGAGGAAGAGGGCCAAGGGGGTTCTTGGTTTTCTCTGATATTAGCTGTTCTCTTGCAGATGTTTCATTACCCAATGAGGTTACCCCATCAGTGCTAGAAGGAAGTGGGGTGTGCAGAGAAGAGGAGGAAGAGATTTATGGAGTCCTTGGTGCTCTCTGATCTTAGCTGTTCTCTTGCAGATGTTTCATTACCCAGCTAGGTTACATCATCAGTGCTAGAAGGGTGTGGAGTGTGCAAAGAGGAAGAGGACCATAGGGTCCTTGGTGCTTTCTGAGCTTGGTTGTTTTCTTGTAGATGTTTCATTATCCAAACTAGGTAACATCATTAATGTTTGTCCAAGCAATGGTTGTCCAAGAGTAGTCTAGGAACCAATCACCAATTCAATTCATGTCCTCCATGGAAGGTCTTAAGTCCACAATTACTACCGAACTGGTAGTAAAAAACACTACTGGTTCGCCGAATCGGTAGTAAAAAAATGCTTTAAAAAAGTAAAAAAAAAAAAAAATGGTTCTGACGATCACAGCTGTGCCTCACGATCGTCAGAACTTCTTTTTTTTTTTTTTTACTTTTTTAAAGCATTTTTTTAACTACCTATTCGCCTGAACCGGTAGTAAAAGAATGCTTTTAGAAAGCTTTTAAAAAGGTTCCCAAGATCACGCGACACAGCTGTGATCTGGGGACCTTTTTTTTAACCTTTTTAAAGCATTTTTTTACTACCAGTTCGGTGAACCAGTAGCGTTTTTTACTACCAGTTCGGGCAAACCAGCCTGAACTGGTAGTATTTCACCCCTGATGCTGCCTCCCACTGTGTCCATCTCAAGAGCTTCCTTCGTTCTCCGAGGACTTTTAAGAGGTGAAACCCCGGAAGGTTTGTCTAGAGCAGCGGTGGTCCAAATGTAGTATAGGATTTGGCCAGCACTACATTTATTTATTGATTGATTGATTGATTGATTGATTGATTGGTTCGATTTATATGCCGCCCTTTCTCCGGAGACTCAGGGTGGCTTACAATGCATTAAGCAATAGCCTTCATCCTTTTATATATACCTGCTCAGTAGGGCTTTCAACACCCCCCCCCCCCTTTTATACAAAGTCATCTTATTGCCCCCACAATCTGGGTCCTCATTTTACCTACCTCGAAAGGATGGAAGGCTGAGTCAACCTTGAGCCTGGTGAGATTTGAACTTGCAGTAATTGTAGGCAGCTGGTGCTAGTTAACAGCACTTTAGTCTGCTGCGCCACCAAGGCTCTTCAATCTGTGTCTCTTGTGGAACGTCAGGGGTGACATTCCATTGGTTCCATGCAGCAGGATCTTCTCCCTCAACCATCTCTTGCCTTCTGTCCTAGAATCTCACCGGTTGCACCTGCCTCACCTTAGCCCCAGCCGGGGATGCCACGGTCGTTCCTGGGAAGTGCCCCAGCCCTGGATGCCAAGAAGCCTTCCTGACATTTCTCTGTGTGATGTGCGTCTGCAGCATGATTGGAGCCATGGCCCAAACTCCCTCCGTCATCATCCTCATCAGGTGAGACCTTGCACTGGCAGGGCAGAGACAAGGAGCCCTCTGCGTGGGACAAAGTCCCAGGGGAAGCATTCAAGGGAGTGGAGGATGGCTCTTTTTGCTTTGGGGTCTTTTGATACCTTTGGATCTAGTGGTCAGGGTTCCAAGCAGGTGAAATTCAGCAGGTTCTGGAGAACCGGTAGCAGAAATTTTGAGCAGTTCGGAGAACCGGTAGCGGACATTTTGAGTAGTTCAGAGAACCGGCAAATGCCACCTCTGGCTGGCCTCAGAGTGGGGTGGGAATGGAGACTTTGCAATATCCTTTATTTATTTATTTATTTATTTTATTGAATTTAGATACCGCCCTACTCCCGAAGGACTCAGGGCGGTGAACAGCCATAGAATAAAACATATAGATACAAAATTTAAAATAAAATAAAACGAATTAAATAATTTGGCTGAACAAATTTAAAACCCCAATAATTTAAAACCAAATTTAAAATTTCCATTTAAAAAGGGGAAAGACTTAGGTCAGGAGTAGGGCCGGAATGGAGATTTTGCAGTATCCTTCCCCCAGGAGCGGGAAGGGAATGGGGATTTTGCAGTATCCTTCCCCTGGAGTGGGGTAGGAATGGGGATTTTGCAGTATCCTTTCCTTGCCACGCCTACCAAGTCACGCCCACCAAGCCACACCATGCCCACCAAGCCACGCCCACAGAACCAGTAGTAAAAAAAATTGAATTCCACCACTGGTTCCAAGTAATAGAGCCATGCCAAGCGAAACTCTGAGGCAGGTGAATTCCTCAAAGAAGAGCTTTACTGGATATATCCTATTGGTACAAACCAGGTGAAAACCAACTCTGAAGATTCCCGCAGTTTTCACCTGATTAAAAGTAAAAGTTTTCTCTCCATCCCAAACCATCAGTCACATGGTTCAATCAAGACATCATCTGGTTGCCTGGCAACCAAATTCCTCCTTCCTCTGACCAGGTGTGAGAATGTCCTTGGTTCCCAAGAGAAAGTATTTTACTTTGGGTACAAAACCCCAGCTATCTCTAATCCCCCCTCTCTTTCCTATCCCTCTGTGGAATTGGGATCGTAGAAGCACCCAGGAGCATAGAAGAGTTCAGAGGCAGATGCATAAATAAATGTCTTAAACGTATTTATTCATATGATAAATCATATTAACTATGTACAACAGAGATCAAGTCTCATGAGGAACAAACATGAAAAGAGAGCAATGGAGAGAGCGAGGTGGAAAAGGTTGGAGGGGGTTTTATGCTCAGGGTAAGCCCCTCCTTTCCACACACTCTCTGCCTCCACTGGTGTCTATATGACACATGTGCCAATGGCTTGCAAATACTTGACACCCTCAGCCCCAGTGTGGCAACACTGAAGCTCCAAGATGGCTTCAGCCAGGCCAGCTTCAGAGTTGACACTAGTCTTATTTCCAATGGATCTTATTTGGGGGGTCACTGAATTACAGAGAAAAATGAGTCCAGCGAAGTCCTACAGACACTGTGATATACACCAGACATTAATGATGCCGTGGAAAATGAAATTGGAATATACCGTTACTCTGTTTTTTCTGGTGTCTGTTGTAACTTTGAACAATTGCTAAGCGACAGGTCGTAAAATGAGGATTAGCTGTCATAGGTCATGGTAGTAGTGACATCCCCTCTTGAAGTGTAGGGAAGGAAGGTGGCTTCCCTTGGAACATAGCATGCCAGGAAGTCAGGTTGATTTCATTTTGGCTTGGAGAGATGCACCTCTTTCTGTGCCCAGTAATTACAGATGATAGATAGACAGACAGGCAGACGGACACTGTAGATAAATACTATAGATAGATTACATGGATGGATGGATGGATGGATGGATGGATGGATGATAGATGATTGATAGATAGATGATAGATAAATAGATAGATAGATAGATAGATAGATAGATAGATAGATAGATAGATAGATAGATAGATAGATAGATAGATAGATACAGGAGATAGACAGACAGACAGACACTAAATAGATATTGTAGATAGATTACATGGATGGATGGATGGATGGATGGATGGATAGAGTAGAGAGATAGATAGAGTAGTTAGATAGACAGACAGACAGACAGACAGACAGACACTGTAGATAGATACCATAGATAGATTACATGGATGCATGGAGAGAGAGAGAGAGAGAGAGAGAGAGAGAGAGAGAGAGAGAGAGAGAGAGAGAGAGAGAGAGAGAGAGATCTACACACTTCCTGGTCGTCGTTCCCCCCCCCAAAAAATCAGGTGTGGATAATAACTCAAGGGACATGTATGGTCTGAGGGGATACCTTTTAGAGGCCCAGAACATTACCAGCGGTCCCTGAATTCTGGTGCACCAATTTTGTTCAGTCTGTTGTGTGTGTGTGTGTGTGTGTGTGTGCTCGCGCAGTGATGGGTTGTTTGAGAGAATTTAAAGGGTCAAACAAGAGGCTTAAACTCTCAGACCACCAAACCACTCTCCTTCTGAAAGAGGCTGATGTTTGTTTGTTTTTTCCCAATGGGGGAAAAGCAAGTCAAGAGGGACTACACCCTTTTTGTCTTCTGCCCATTTTTTTCATCCGCCCTGCCGGTTCGAATCTCCCTTGCAGGCTAATTGTTAACGCCGTTTTTCTGTTTAATCCCCAGCCTGGTTCACGGCCCTTTTTTCCTGCCTTGGATCAGCCTCAGCGCCTTTGTAATGTGGGGTTTCCAGTAGATGAAACATACCCGGGAGAAGCTAATTAGTAGGTCCTCTGAAGGCGCCGTGTGGCCACTTCACAGCAGAGCTTGGCGCTTTGCTTCCGTCTTTTATCTTCCCGGTTGCAGCCGCTTCGAAAATTAAACTTTCCCCTTCAAGAGCAGGGCATCCCTCAACCCTTTGAGGCAGGCAAGGTCAAAAAACAGACGCAGCAGGGGCTCCGAGAATGCCGTTTACGGCTGCAAGTTAGAAGAACAAAATCTTGAAAGCTTATCACCAGAAAGACCAAAACTGAGCTTCTGCCTTGGGATTTTGTCTTTCTCAAGACTGAGAAATATTTTCTGAAAGTCGCCCTTTCAGGGTTGGCTCGTCGCTTCCCCTATTCTGTCCTTAGCTGAGACATTAATGAGGCGGGGATTGCATAACCAGAACTGTTTATTTACCTCAAACAGCAACGATACAACAGACGGAACAGAACAGCAACTTCAGCACTGACAGCTCTTTTATACCCCAAGCTGTCAAATGAACTAACCAATAAAAACACAGTAACTCTCCCGCGCGAGTTAACCACACCCCTCTAGCTAATCCGCTGGCAGTTGCTGGGCTGCCGTGATCACAACACTCCTTCATCCCCGGCTATAACATACATAGTCTTTTAGATACTCCGGGCGCCTGCGTGCTCGAGCCGAACGTCTTAGCTCAGGCACCAGCTCTAGGTGAACTGGTTCAGCTTCCAGAGATGATGCTGCGGATGGCCCCTCCTGCTCGCCGGCTGGGATGACAACTACCGGTACATTCCGTTTCGACTCATGATGTTCAGGTGCCGGCGATGGTAGATTGATCGCTTGTGACGGCAGGAGGGTAGTTTCAGCTCGGGGAGCCATGCGAGGGGTCACCGCATCATGCACGCTCGGGATCGTTGCCAGTCGCTTCCTTAGTTGGTCCACGTGTCGACGCAACAGTCGGCCGTCATTCAAAAGTATCCTGTAAGAGCAGGGGCCGGTTACAGCACTTACTAGTCCTGGTAGCCAGCGAGGCTCCCCCCCCCCAAAATTCCGAGCAAAAACCGTATCTCCTTCCACAAAAACCCGCAAACCCTTATCCAAACTCTGGGACCCCACCTTGGGATGAAGGAGATACGGTTTTTGCTCGCATGGCCCTATTTAAGGTACATTTAAAATCACCGCATATTCTCACGGAGCCGTCAGGCTTAATGGGAACCACTATGGGTGTTTCCCATTTGGAGTGGTCAGTTGGCTCTAGGACCCCTTGGGCAATGAGCTTGTCCAGCTCTGCATCTACTTTAGGCCTAAGAGCAAGAGGGACTCTGCGTGGCTTTAGCCTTATTGGCGCCACATTAGGATCCAGGTTCAAAGAAATGGGGGACCCTACATATTTTCCCAATGTACCAGCAAAAACGTCAGCAAATTCAGTGAAAAGGCCTTCCTCCCCCAGAACCGACATAGAGTGTACACCAGATATTTTCAACCCCAGCGCCCTGAACCAATCCATGCCTAATACACTAGGCAGGACCCCTTTTACCACAATTAAAGGTAAATGCCCCACAAAACCATCTGATTCCACTAGGAATCGCCCCTGTCCTAGAATGGGGATAGAATTTCCCTGATAGTCCCGAAGTCTGATGGGGCACTGTTGTAGCTGACTCTTGGTAATTGTCGGGATCAAACATCTCAAAACCCCCCAGGACACTATGGATTTTGCAGACCCAGTGTCCAATTCCATCTGACAGGAGGCACCCTCTATTTTTACTGTCATTGAAAGCTTGGCGCCATTCAGCGCGGAGGAGCGTGCGGTCACCTCATTAACGCAGCGTGCACGGAAAGTGGGAACACAACTCTCCTTTCCCGAACGGCGAGGTGTTGATGCAGCAGACGACTTTGCCATTGAACGGCAGACCTTCGCGATATGCCCTTGTTTACCGCAACGGCGGCAAACAGCTGACCTGAAACGACAGGTTGCTCTGGGGTGCCCCTCTCCACAATTGAGGCAACCGGCTTTAGGCTCCGCCTTCACTCGGGGGCTGCTCCAACGGGTTTTGGATGCTCGCAGGTGGCTCACGCCCATCTCATCCTCATCCGTGGAGTCGTCTGAGGTGATGTCCTGCTGGTGAACTGAGGCAGCCGCTTGGGATGACGCAGGGAAGGACTTCCTGATGTCAGCGGTGGATTTTTCAGACATCTCCGCCGCCTGGGCTTCTTCTATGGCGGTCTGCAAATCTAGGTTTTTCTTAGCTAACAACTGCCTCTGCAGTCGAATGTCCCTCACCCCGCACACCAGCTGTTCCAC